ATGAATATTGGTTTTCTGCAGGGGCGGACTGACCATTTGGAAACTCGGCACTGCCTGAGGGCCCAGGATCAGTAGGGGGCCCCATGAGATGCTCCTGGTACCTTTTTCATAGGCTTTTTTGAGTTTGGGCAAGGACACAGGGGCCCCATGATCCCCTATTGCTCGGGGGCCCCATGAGTTGTCAGTCCGCCCCTGGTTTTATGTTTAGACCCTGCACCTAGCGTGAGCCCGTGTCATCAGGGTGACCTGCTGCTGCACCTATCCATCTGGTCAGTGGAAGCCCCTATACTGTTATAGCTACCGGCAGGGGCGGACTGACCATTCAAGCACTCGGACACTGCCCGAGGGCCCAGGGTCAGTAGGGGGCCCCATGAAATGCCCCTGTTACCTTTTTTATAGGCTTTTTTTTTGAGTGTGGGCAAGGACACAGGGGCCCCATGATCCCCTATTGCTCGGGGGCCCCATGAGTTGTCAGTCCGCCCCTGGTTTTATGTTTAGACCCTGCACCTAGCGTGAGCCCGTGTCATCAGGGTGACCTGCTGCTGCACCTATCCATCTGGTCAGTGGAAGCCCCTATACTGTTATAGCTACCGGCAGGGGCAGACTGACCATTCAAGCACTCGGACACTGCCCGAGGGCCCAGGGTCAGTAGGGGGCCCCATGAAATGCCCCTGTTACCTTTTTTATAGGATTTTTTGAGTGTGGGCAAGGACACAGGGGCCCCATGATCCCTATTGCCCGGGGGCCCCATAAGTTGTCAGTCCACTCTGGCTACCAGTCTAGGAGGCTGACCCCTGACCATGACATCCTCCATAGTGTGTGCTAGCCTCAATACAAAGCACCTAGTGCGATTTCTATCTGTTCTGTTTTCCCTCTGTTATCTGCGTGAGTCAGTTTTTGAAAGGTACCACACAATCCTCAGCTTTCTGGACTATTCTGCTCAGTGTGTGACTACAGATCCCCACCACCTGCCTGCTGAAGCTGAAAAATAGACTTTTATCTGTGTGATTTAGGAGGCTGTAGAGGAGAGAGGACTTCAGATGAACAGGTACAACTTATGTAGGAGGATTTGTTTTATTCTCTGTGTATCACCTGAGGCCAGTCACTTCAGAGGGTCTTCTGAGTCTTCTTCTGTACAGCCTGTTCTCTTTTACAACAATTGTTAATGGTTCCATCACCATAAGTATGACAAACACACCTCAATCTTTATTGACATTTTGTATATCTTCTATCAATGCTCCCAACTTCACTAGTAAATGTTTTTATTCCCTCACAATTTATGTTAGGTAGATCATTTAATAAATTAGGCAAATTTGCATTTTAATGAATGAGTTTCTATGTTTACCTATACTCTGCAAAGCATATTTATTCTTTGATTAATATAATGATGCCCAGTGATTAACTATGAGATTAACAATGAGATTATACATTCTATACACAAAATCACTTTGAGATAGTATGTAGTTTATCATCTTTTTGCCATTGCATTTGTTTGTAATTTATTTTGCCAATGATCACACATTTGATTTAGAACTTAGTCACTATATTTTTGAAATCACTGATCTGATAGAAATATATTTTGAATAGAAGTAAATGGTCTGTTATGGGGGGGGGGTTGAGTGTGGCACTTTTTGCAGCAGCCTGCCTCCCTGAAGTGTCTACTGATTGATGCTGAGCATGGCTGTATCCCAGTACTTGCATGGTTTACAGATAATGGAGCAGTCACATGACTGAATGCTACTGAGTATTACAAGCAACTCTGTAGAGCACTGACTTGTCCGGGGTACGTGGGCTCCGGGTGGTCACCTTGGGGAAATCCTGTGCCTATTAACAGCTTCCTGCCTGCCCACAGTACATTTACTGTGGGGAGGTGGTGCAAGCAGGCTGGATCATGTACTTATACGTCATCCAGCCTGTTTTGGGCTAGGGGTGCACGTGAGTGTGCCCACTGCAAACCCCCGCTGTCACTGGCTGGATTTTGTCATCAGGTCCTGGCCAATCATTTTTGGCTGAGACCTGCTGATCAGCTTTTTTACAGACACAGAGGGCTCTGTACACAGATCAGCAATCTGACTGTTTCTTCTCCCCGTAAGGCAGGAAGAAAAACAGCCAGATCTGTAAGTAAAAGCAGCACATATTACACATTGTTAGGAGCACAGTTACCCCTTTGATTGTCCTTTGATGTTAACTCCTTCCCAGCCATTGTCATTAGTACAGTGACAGTGTACGGTATTAGCACTGATCACTGTATTAGTGACACTATTGATGTCAGTGTCAGTTAGTCCAATCCAGCATCAGCTAGCACCAGATTGCCCACCACAGTATCTCAGTCCCACTATAAGTCGGTGATCACCGCCATTACCTGCATTGTGTTTATAGCTGCTTAAATTCCAGCATATACCATAGTTTGCAGACATTACAACTTTTACAAAATCCAATTAACACACACTTAGTGGGATTTTTTTTTTTTACCAAGGACATGTAGCAGAATACATGGCCTAAATTGAAAAAGAAAATGTTATTTTTTTAATTTTTTTTTTTAATTGGGTATGTTTTATAACAGAAAGTAGAATTTCTTTTTTCCAGAATTGTGTGTCTTTTTTTTGTTTAATAAAAATATATAAAAAAACCCTGTAGTGATTAAATACCGCCAAAAGAAAGCCCTATTATATTAATTTCATTTGGGTACATTGTTGCATGACCGAGCAACTGCCAGTTAAAGTAAAGCAGTGCTGAACAGCAAAAAAATCCCCTGGTCATAAAAAAAGTAAACGTTTCTGAGGTCAAGTGGTTAAAGACATAAGATTTCTATTCAGATTTGGAGGCCATTTTGGTCCACTCTCCAGCTCTCTCTTCTGCTCTTCTCTGCTCCAGTTGTGGGGGTAAATATCCTTCTTGTTGTCCCTGCATTATAAGACACATCAGAGGAAAAAGAGGGCTCATTGTGGTAAAAAAGGATTGGTTGTATGCTAAGAAGAAGGCCTAAAGATGTGAGGAGTAAGGTAAGTATTCCTCTGCTTTAAACACCCATAGACAAGCATTTCAACTTTACCATCCAGCAAGGGAAGAACATATTTCTATTTTTTTATGCCTGATTGGAGTTCAGCTTTAACCTCCCCAAACTGGAGCTAAATGGTGCTTTAAAGGCTTTAGTAAATTTGTTTGAAGCATACAAAAATCTTTGCAAATGCTTTGAAAAAAGAACTACACTGCTCTTTTACAAGCTGAAGCTCATACGGACAAAACTTAAAGCAGAACTCTACCCTAAAGGGGAAGTTCTGCTTTATGTTCTCCTCCCCCTTCCTCTACCACATTTTGCATATTATATTTTTTTGGGGGGAGCTCGTACCTAGTTTTGATTGGTACCATACTGCCGCTAGGATCACCTAGGCTAACCAAGCTGGCCCCCCTATCTTTGTCAGCAGCTTTCTGGGACATGTCACAGGTCCAAGGAGGCTGCAGGACCATTCGCAAGCCTCAGTGAAGCTCACGTATGCACAGTGGGAAGCTGACTGTGAAGCCACAAGCAGTGACAGTCGGCTGCCCACAGTAAATATGCCAGCACTGGGGATTCGACCACCCGGTGAAGAAATGGCCTGGGTGAGGACAGCGCTGAAACCCTGGACAGATAAGTATCCTTTTATTAAAAGGCAGCAGCGCAGTATTTTTAGCTTTAGTTTTTTTTTGTATTTTAGTATTTTTTAGTATTTAGTATTTTTTTCTAAAGTAAAGATTGTCTTTAACTAAGCAATGCAAAGTATGTTTACATGTGTTACTTCCAACCAGAAACCATGGAACACTTAAAGTTAGCTTTTACCACGCTTTTATAACCTTATATTGAGTGCAACGGTAAAACAAGCGTTTATTCAACAGTAATTATGCAGTATATATTGCTACAATAAAAACAGAAAGCTTAACATTTTTTGGCTTGGATGATAGAAAATCTCAGGTGTCGCTATCGGCTGATCAGCACCAGGTTGGTGCACAGGCCCGGTGTCAGCTTGCTATCAGGCAACATATGGTGCAGGTTGGAGGTTGCAGCAAATCACAAACATGAACCATAGAAGCACAGGAGATTTGTCGATGACAAGCATGAAAAGCTGAAACCGTTAGTAAATGAGCCAAGCTGTCATATGATATGGGCCAGGAGTTCTGATCTTATGGAAAATCTTGCAGAATACAAGTTGAGCTTGTTATCACTTTTCTGCTTCAAATATGGATTTTAATATTGAGCCTTGTGGTTTACTGCACATCTATAAAATGTTCAGTTCGATACTATGAGATATTCATTTCCAGCTCCTTTTTTATTTAGAAAGATGATCCTTAAAAGGAGTAGATACATGTCTTAAAGGGAACATGATTTGCCTATATAAAATAAATCAATGGTTTAGCTTGACTGTCCACCTCCCTCCCAGCATATACTTACCTTTTCTTTGCTCCTCTGCAACTCTGTTCAGCTGCCGGAAACAAAGCAAATATTTGGTATTTCTTGGTTTAAAGTAACACATACAGTCAGGTCCATAAATATTGGGACATCGACACAATTCGAACATTTTTGGCTCTATACACCACCACCACCATCATTTCTTTTCAAATCCATTGTGGTGGTGTATAGAGCCAAAAATGTTAGATTTGTGTCGATGTCCCAATATTTATGGACCTGACTGTAACTCTCATCCCTTTTTCTCAAATGGTTGGGTAATTGACCCAGTGCTGAGGGTAGGGAATCATTTCTCAGCCCTGTGTAAGCTCCTACTAAATAGATTTGGAGCTTACTGAAGGCATAAATCAAAAAGAAGGATCATCAGACCAAAAATGCTTTAGTGGTTCGCAAGCAAAAAGCCAATGCATTTAGACAACCAAAAACCTCTCTGTTCATCAAGAAATGATGAAAGTCAAGAAATGTGAAAGTCTAGCTGAACCCTCACTTCTCTTAAAAATGTCCTTTCCCCTCACTTAAAAACTTTGCTTACTAACTCGTGTAAGAAATATGTATATACTTACCTATTTTCAGACCAGGGGTGGACTGACCATTTGGAAACTGCCTGAGGGCCCGGGGTCAGTAGGGGCCCCATGAGATGCCCCTGGTACCTTTTTCATAGGCTTTTTTGAGTTTGGGCAAGGACACAGGGGCCCTATGATCCCCTATTGCCCGGGGGCCCCATGAGTTGTCAGTCCGCCCCTGTTTCAGACCACTCAAGTTCAGTCAGCTGATATGACTCCCCTATGTCAGTCAGCACAGCTTTAGGCCTACGTTGTTGCAGTGCTCTCTCTTCTCTCTTGCAGCCACAACTAGCTGACACAGGAGATCACATGACTGGACCGGAGTGAGCTGAAAATGGGCAAGTATATAGGTCTTTCTAACACAAGTTAGTAGGCATAGGTATTAGTAGAGGGAAGAGGACTGTTTTAAGAGGGCTTAGGGTTAAGCTGGAATACCAGTTAAAAATCTAATAAGAACTTAAGCTGGACTTGATAGGACATTTTGCTGTATTAATCTTTATAGGTAAAATCTCAATCAATTGTGCCTGCGTTTTTGCCATTGCCATCAATAGCCAGTTGACAATTTGTAAGGGGGACTTTGATTAGCATTGGCACCAAACTAAGAGTGTCTGCTCCACTTCTTCTTGGATAGGACAACTACCTACCTGTTGTTGATGGAAGTCTCTGCCATACTGTGCTATACTCCTGTCCAGTGCCAAGACAAGGGATGGGCAAGAGGGGCAGCTGCCCAGGGTATAGTGCTAGAGAGGGGGTGCCCCTTCACTGCATGGGCCAGATCTGCTGTCACACCATGCTTCAACATGCCCACTCTCCACCCCATCCACCCACAGCTGACACGAAAAACACACAACTACCTCTTTAACTGTTACAAAGTAAGCAATTGGCCACGTATGTTCACACTCTATGCCCACTATGGCCAACCAGAGCAGGAGGGGCAAACAATGGATGCAGGGTGGTACACCCTTTCTATATCATGCATTAACAGTGGGGGGAGGGACAAGAAGTTCTGCATCCTTGCCCTGGGTGCTAGAAAAAACCTCTATTCCCAATGTCCCCTCTGCCCAGCCAGGCACCCTCTCATTTGAAACTCACTTTTCTAGGCTCACTTTCCTAGATTGTAAGCTCGAAAGAGTAGGGCCCTCTAACCCCTCGTGTGCTGTTTGTAGTTGCTGTAATGTTTCATGTATTGTCCCCCCCTCTATTGTACAGCGCTGAGCAAACCCTTTGGCGCTATATAAAACTCAATGTAATGTAATAATGTAGGCTTCCACCACCACTCACAATTGCTATGGGGTGTTTGGTTTCCAATTCCCATTCATCCTGGGCTCCATTCACCATTGGCATTTATGTGGGCATTAATCCCACCCATCACTAAGAGATTTCTCTAAAAGTAGAGCTAGCACCTAACTACAACTTTCCCTTTACTATACCATAATAGGAACAGAGCCACTTAGTGGCAGGCAAGCTAACTGTTGTGCCAGCATTCTTGCCAATAACTGTTATTGCTAGAAATGCTGGCACAACTGCTGAAGGCATTTGACTAAACATACTTATATACAGAAGTCAAGCTGCATAAGTCCTTTTAAAATAATGACTGTGTTTGTCAACAGCGGAAGGTGTCAAATTAGTTTCACACAAAGAGGCAGTTGGGGCCAAAAGCCCAGTTGCGTCCTTCATCTCTACCTGGGAAGTCATCATCAGAAATAAGATGTACTCGATATTTCCTCCATAGATAAGATATGTACTCGATATTTTCCTCATAGAATAAAGCTGCTTCAAAAACAGCCATAACCCAGATAATAGTTCAACCTTTAAGTATAGCAAATGATGGCACTAAAAAGTAATTTATTTCTGTTTATGCCAGAAACAGTCCATAACATTAATAACAGAGCCATTTGCAATGCACTTTGCATCAAATGGAAAGAGTCGCTTAAGAACTTTGAGATGTTTATGAAGTCAGTGCTGTTCGTTCAAAAAGAGAAAATCATATTCTGAAATTTGCCTATTTGTTTTATGTACCATTTAACAGCAAAACAGCGAATGCAAGTTTACTGAATAAACAGGCTGTAATTGACAGCGTTCAGCTTGTCAATAATTTTGGAATTAGTCAGTACGTCTAGAGGAGAAAGGAAGAAAAGTCGTCATCATTTACAGTGAAGAGAGAGAACATCTATCAGTGAAATATTTTTACCTGTATTGTCACACACAAATATAATCAAAGGGGCATCATAACTTTAAAGACGAACTCTATTCATGTGATTTATTTATTTATTTCAGGTACTTATATAGCGCCGTCAATTTACGCAGCGCTTTACATATATATTGTACATTCACATCAGTCCCTAACCCTCAAGGGGTGTACAATCTAAGGTATGTGATACAAATTTATTTCTGGTAGCCGCCCTCTTTATATAGTAAGGATCTAATGCACATTTAGCCTAAGGCTGGGGCGTCAAACTCAATTTAATTGCGAGCCGCATCAGCATTATGGTTGCCCACAGCCTCCCTAGCGGTCTGATTATGTCAGTATTTCTGTGCTCAAAGCGGTACATTTTTTAGCATGGAAATATGTAGTTTTTTTTATTGTAGGCCTGTCATTTTTAGGAATAACTCACTGAAATCTGTCTGAACAAGAGTCTAGTAAACATCCCGGGTAGGATAAAACTTGAAACACAAAATCATAAATTATAATTTAATAAATAATCATAAAAATAATAATATAATAATAATAAATTTAATTCAATAATATAATCAAACCAAAAACACTGAAATTTGAAATAGAGCGCCAAGTTCGCACATCACTGTCAAAGTCGCAAAATCGTTTTCAGTGTCTGATGAGGAATTTCCCCCACGAATCATTATCACTCAATTCTGCAAGTGGTTCTGATTTACTATCGCTGTTCTCTAGCCGGTCTAAAACCGCTTTTGACATAAAGGGACGCTTTGTGGACGCCATGGACGTTTCTCAGTTTCCAGGCAGAGAAAGAACAGTAAAATGCAGGCAGGGCACAGGACAAAGCAGTAGGGACAAAATGTATGTGAAATGGTTTGATACAGTAATGTTTTACTATGTGATTTTAATGTATTTAGTGAATGTCACTTTTTGACATTTTTAAATTTCCCGCCAGTTCTGTCCCCCGTACGTCCCGACGTCGCAGGGAATGGAACCCAGAAGACCGATGCTGGCATCGGTCGGAGGACATTGCCGGGGACGCTGCAGGGGGGACATCGCAGGAGCGCAGGACAAGGTAAGTGCAGAAGGGATTCTGCAGGGTATTCCTGAGTGTAGCTCGGGGTTACCGCTTGTGGTGCTGAAACTTTACCCCGAGCTACACTCGGGAATATCTCCAGGGAGGTTAAAGGGCCAATTGTATCTGTAAGACTGGTTGCCCAGAGCACCCCACACCCTGCTCCACTTACATCAGATGTCTAGAGTCCCCCACCCTCCATCACAATGTTGTTTTCCAGTACAGTGGAGTGCATGTGGTGTACATCTGCCCTAAATCCCTGTACACATGGACCGAATATTGGCCATAATCTGCTGTTACAGCTGTTTGTCTGACAGAAATTGGTGCCAGCGTGACCAGAGTGCTATGATGGGGGGAGTCCCTGTCAGGACACAATAGCACAATGGGGGAGATCGCTGCACTAACATTGTTTTAGGCTTAAGGATCGGTAGCCAGCAAGACTGACTCCAAATCATGTGACCACTGTGACAGCCAATCACAATAGTCACATGATCACCAATCCTCCCGTCCCTTGGCCATTTAAAGGGACACTGTGGCAGGCGGAAGGGGTTAACAAACTGCACTATTACATGTAACACCATCTCTCATATTTATTCTCATCATGTCATTTATATTTGAACCTGTATTCCCTTGCTGCCACCGCTGATTTTGTACTCACTTTTTCAAGTGACTATGTACTCTACATGGCTTGACTTGACTTAAAGCGGAGTTCCAGTGAAAATAAAAAAAATAAAAGTCATCAGCTACAAAAACTGTAGCTGTTGACTTTTAAAAAACGGACAGTTACCTGTATCTCGGTTCCGCAGTGTCCCCCCCCGCAGCCCGTTTCACCGGCTGTCCTGTGTTCCCGGTGCCAGCATCTACAGTGTGGGCACCCGGCTGGGCAGCTTGCTGCTTTACAGCCGGTGCCCACTGCGCATGTGTGAGAAGCGCTGTGCTCTCTGAATGGTCCCGTAGTCTTTTGGGACCTGTCACGTGTCCCAGAAGACTATGGGGAGGGAGGGGGGAGGACAATTTCTGCTTTCCGATCGTATGGGCGACAGCAGAGCATGTGGGAATGGGCACCTGTCAATTTCGGGTACCCGCTCCCCAAAGGTGCCAAGCCTTAACGGGGAGTGGGGAACCAATCCTTAAAGAGGAACTTCCCCTTTTGGGTGGAGATCCACTTTAACACTGGCAAGGGTGCTTATAATGATCAGCTTTTATTTATTCATACAAAACCTTTATCCCAAAAGGAAAAAAAAAACTAACTGCCTATGAAGTGTGAACTGGAATTGGCTTCAGTTTGTTTAGTGTATTTAAATCTGCTAATTTACACAGGTGTCAAACTGGCGGCCCTCCAGCTGTTGCCAAACTACAAGTCCCATGAGGAAAGATTGCAAGATTGACAGTTACAAGCATGACTCCCAAAGGCAGAGGTATTATAGGACTTGTAGTTTTGCAACAGCTGGAGGGCCACCAATTTGACACCCCTGTGCTAATACTTTTAAAACTACCATCCCCCCCAGACTGACAATGCTGCTGTTTGCTGTGCCTCCTTGTGCTGCCTGTGCTCCTTCAGCCAGAGTGGGGGGGGGCACTCTAAAACAGGTGGTGTGTTACTGGCTAGATCACCAGAGAGAAAAAAAAAGCCAAAGAAAAGAAAACTAAAGCAGCTACCACATCTAATGATTAGTAAGCTGCAACATATTACGTGGGCAGCACAGTGGCTAAATGGTTAGCTCTTCTGCCTGGCAGCACTAGGGTCACTGGATCGAATCCTAACCATGGCACCACCTGCCTGGAGTTTGCATGATGTGACTGTGTGGGTTTCCTCCAGGTGCTCTTGTTTCCTCCCATACTCCAAAGACATGCTGGTAGCTTAATTGGCTCCTGTCTAGTATGTATAAATGTGAGTTAGGGACTTTAGATTGTATAACCCTTGAGTGTTAGGGACCAGGGGCAGACTGACCAATTGGAAACTCATGCACTGCCTGAGGGCCCAGGGTCAGTAGGGGGCCCCATGAGATGCCCCTGGTACCTTTTTCATAGGCATTTTTGAGCAGCACAGTGGCTAAATGGTTAGCACTTCTGCCTGGCAGCACTAGGGTCACTGGTTCAAATCCCATCCACGGCACCACCTGCCTGGAGTTTGCATGATCTTCCTGTGACTGCATGGGTTCCTCTGGGTACTCCAGTTTTCTCTCACACTTCAAAGACATGCTGGTAGCTTAATTGGCTCCTGTCTAGTATGTGTATGTATAAATGTGAGTTAGGGACTTTAGATTGTATGCCCCTTGAGTGTTAGGGACCAGGGGCGGACTGACCAATTGGAAACTCGGGCACTGCCCGAGGGCCCGGGGTCAGTAGGGGGCCCCATGAGATGTCCCTGGTACCTTTTTCATAGGCTTTTTTGAGTTTGGGAAAGGACACAGGGGCCCCATGATCCCCTATTGCCCGGGGGCCCCATGAGTTGTCAGTCCGCCCCTGTTAGGGACTGATGTGAATGTACAATATATATGTAAAGCACTGCGTAAATTGATGGTGCTATATAAGTACAATTAATTAATTTTTGATTTTGGGTTTAATACCGATTTAATTTGAAGGGGCTGTTGGCTCATCTCTAATAAACACTGGTTTTGTGCAGAAGTAAAGTAATAGTTTCTGATGATCTATATTTCTCCTTGAAGTGTTCTACATTATGCATTTAAGAAACATAAATAAACATTTAATTCAGAATGTGTCTCATCTGGGAGCATTGTCCCCAAATGACTTTCTAAGCTTCTGTTGATCGATAAATTAATCTCCAGTGTTTAGTATTAACTAAGATTAGACCACTGCCTGTGCAAGCCTTTTTTTCCCCCCTTAACAGTGCCTTTAGAAAGTGTTTAGTGTGCCCCTGCTTTACATAAACAGCATGGAAGCTTTCAGAGTGCTAGTTATATCCAGCTTTTAACTATGCATACTGTTATAAAAGTTTATATTCCTTCAATAGAAAAATTCTACTTAGTACTACTTGTATCTAAAATGGCCAGAACATGTTCTGTATCCTTCATACATTAAAGGCTTGCACTATTGGTTCTATATAATCTGTGCTATAAATCAGCATGATGCAGTTAAAGCTGAACTCTTAAATAAAAAACACAAAAAAAATCAAATAATTAAACCATTAAAGTGGAGTTCCACTAACTCTGTAAAAAAATAAAAGTCAGCAGCTGCAAAAACTGTAGCTGCTGACTTTTAAAAAACAGCCACTTACCTGTCCCACGATCCCCGCGTTGCCCCTGCCGCAGCCCGTTTCACCAGCCGTCCTGTATTCCAGGAGACCGGCATCTTCAGTGTGGGCACCCGGCTGTGATAGCTTGCGGCTTCACAGCTGGGTGCCCACTGCGCATGCGTGAGTAGGTGTTAGGGACCAGCCGGTGGTAGCCTCTAGCGGCCCACAGACCAGAATTCCCCAGGGCGCGGAATCTAAGTTCCGACCTGCTTGTTCACCAGAGCCCCTGATGGTGGGGATGGACTTGGAGCAAGCCGAGACCAGGTCGCGACCCCTGGGTGCAACCAACTGTGGAAGAGGCACCTGTCGGTGGTACGCAGCAGGTGAGAGTCTGATGTGAGGAGGTAGAGTAAGCGAGGTCAGAACGGTCGGGTCGGTAACAGCAGAGCAGGTCAGTACAAAACAGCAGGCAGAAGAATAAACGGGTCACGGTCCGGGTTTGGCAACAGGAGATCAAAAGTGCAGGAACAGGCAGGAGAATGGTCAGGCAAGCCAGGGGTCAGAGCAGGAGAAGTCAGCAGATCAGGATCAGGCAGGGTCAGCAGCAAAGTAAACTCACAGGAACACAGGAAAGACCATACGGCACTTGAGCATTGCAAGAGCTGGGTTTAAATAGCCAGCCCAACTCCTGACAGGCGCTCCTGGGTCCTAATGCTTGCTGGTGCCGTCATTGGTGACATGTGCGTCTGGGTCCTAGTGCCCGCCTGCCTGTACGTTTTGTCAGGACTCTATGCATGTGCGGATTCGATCGCTGCAGCGATCTTCCCATTCTCTGACAGTAGGGCTGCACTTCCTGAATGGCCCCGTTGTCTTCTGAGACCTGTCATGTGTCCCACAAGACTTCAGGGAGGGAGGGTAGGAGGACAACTTCTGTTTCCGATCGCCTAGGCAATCCAATGGAAGTGGGGGCGGGTGCCTGTCAAATTCGGGTACCCGTTCCCCCGCTCCCTAAAGGTGCCAATCCTTAACCAGTTCCTGCCCGGCCAATAGCACAAAGGCGGCCGGGCCAGCAGCTCGTCCCTCCGGGTTTACTCCATATGGCATCCTTTTAGACATGCGCAGTTTGCATGCCCGCAGGGCCGCTCTGCAGTGCGATCTGTCACCAGCCGTGTACCTCAGACACGGCCGATGACAGATCTGTGTTCTGGCCCCGTTTTCAGTACCAATCACAGCAGGTCACATGACAGTTGTGTACAATGGATGGCTTCCTTCATGTCATCCATTGTATACTAGTGTCTAGCTATGAATGGTCACAGCGATCACATGCACAAGCTGGGCTAATCGCAGCCCAGCTGTGTCATGTGATTAGCCGTGGCCAAATCACAGCTAAGCACAAAAAAACTCCCCTGCATTAATCGATGTCATTCAGGTAAATGCTTGCTTATAGCAAAGTAATTTTTTGCTATAAGCAAATTGTTTAAAAAAAAAAATACTGATCACTTCCCCAAAGTTATTATGGTAACATTATACTACTTTGGTCACAGTGAAACCTGAAAATAAAATCTAAAAAAAAGAGAAAGTAATAAACAATTAAAACTAATAAAAAAAATAAAAACTTTTTTTTTTTTATTATAATTTTTTTTTTCATACTGTCACCAGTCAGTGTCCCTGATCACCGCCATGCCAGTGATATAATGATGATGTACTGCACTGGTGACAGTATGTAAAAAAAAAATTGTGAAAAAAATAGTGAAAATAATTTTTTTAATATTTTCATTTTCCGAAAAATTATGATAAAAAAAATTACAACTTCAAAAAACTCGCCATGCCTCTTATGAAATACGTCAGACTGTCTAATTTTGCAAAAAGGGGTCATTTGGGGGATATCTGTACTGTTCTGACATTCTTGGACCTCAAGAAATTAGATTGGCTGTCAGTACTTCAGGATTGATCAATATTCAGATCTATACCATAGTTTGTGAACTCGATAACTTTCCTACAAACTAAATAATACATCCTAATTTGGGTTATTTTCACCAAAGACATGTAGCAGAATACATCTGAGTCTAAATTTATGAACAACAATTATTTATTTGCAAAGAAAATGTGTTTTTTTTTTTCAAAATTTTCGGTCTTTTTTTGTTAATGTAGCAAAAAATAAAAACCACCAAAAGAAAGCTCTAGTTGTGTGAAGGACATTTAATTTTGGGTACAGTGTTGTATGACCGCGCAATTGTCATTCAAAGTGTGAGAGCGCTGAGACCTGAAAAATGGCCTGGGCAGGAAGGGGGATAAAAGTGCCCAGTATGGAAGTGGTTAATGGGGAGCGGGGGACCAGTCTTTAAAGCGGAACTTCCCCTTTTGGGTGGAACTCCATTTTAACCACTTGCCCTCCAGAGGATTTACCCCCATTCCTGACCAGGCCATTTTTTTGCATTACGGTGTTGCGTCAACTTGATGCTACAGCAAAAATTATTATACAGGATTTATAGTATTAATATACAGGATATATATATATAGTTTGCGTAGCGCTTTACAACATAAAGGGAGACAATGCAGTTACAATACAATAAAAAAACAAGAGGATTAAGAGGACCCTGCTCATAAGAGTTTACAATCTGATATGGTGGGGCATGTCAGACAAAAGGTTATAACTGTGGGGAATGAGTTGATAAAAGTGATACATGTTTAACCACTTGCCCTCCAGAGGATTTACCCCTCTTTCTGACAAGGCCATTTTTTGCGTTACGGCGTTGCATCACTTTCACTGACAATTACGCAATCATGCAACGTTGCACCCAAATTGAATTTATGTCCTTTTTTTTCCCACGAATTGAGCTTTCTTTTTTTGGTATTTGATCGCTTTTTTCTTTTTTTTTTTTTTGCGCTATAAAAAAAAATACTGACAATTTTGAGAAAAGAAAATATTTTTGACTTTTTGCTATAAAACGTCCAGTAAAAAAAATGTAAAAAAAATCAAATTTCATCATAAATTTAGGCCAAAATGTATTCTGCTACATGTCTTTGCTACAAAAAAAAATTCCAATAGGTGTAAATTATTTGGTTTACGTGAAAGTTATATCGTTTACAAATGGCGGTATATATACTGGGATTTTTTATTTTTACTCGTAATGGCGGCCATCAGCGACTTATAGCAGGATTGCGGAGGGCATTTTGACACTGGTGGGATCTGACTTGGTGTCACTGACATCCCCAGTGACACCAATAGAGTGATCAGTGCTAATAAAAAGCACTGACACTGTACTAATGACACTGGGCAGGAAGGGATTAACATCTGGGGCGATCAAAGGGATAACTGTGTGCTGTTTTACTGTGGGGCTGTGTGTCAGTTCTTCACTGTAAGCACACTGGCGCTCCGGTCATGTGACCATTGTAATTAGCTGTCACAGCAGTCATGTGCTCGGAAAACTCCCGATTGCAAGTATGCATTGAAGGCTTACTGATCCCCACCGCCTACCGAGCTGGCAGTGCGCAGGGAGTGGTTAAAGCGGAAAGTGGTTAAAGTGAAATATCAACAATTTATTAGGTAACATGACATCGGTGATGCCCTGACCTTGCCTGTGAAGTGGTGCATCTGAGAAGGGTCTGGTATATATGTTATAGCTGAAGGCATAGCGGACTCCCACACACAAAAAAATGGCATTGGGTCCCTCCTGTGCTGGATTTATAAGGGGGCAAAAGGAGGAACTGCCCTGGACCACCTTGACAGAAGGCGTCTCCCCTCTATACAAAAATTATATAAAACAAGATAAAAAAATTATCTAAAATAATAAAAAATAAATAATAAAATAATATAAAATGAACAAAAAAATTGTTTCTTTTAATAAATGTATCTTCTTTTGCCATCCATTGTCTGTTCACTTCAGCTTCGGCTTGAAAAGGTTTTACCCCCTTCACAGCCGGGACTTGACGACACTCCTGCTGTGTACAATCACAGCAGGTGTTGGTGAGGAGGCACGCATGCGCGCACCCTAAATCCGGAAGCAGGCAACGACGTACCAGTACATTGCTTTGCCTGCATGGGCTGCCTGTCTGCAGTACATTGGACTCTTGGCTGGTATACTGTATCCTTTTTAAAAACAAATTTTGGGGCTCAAGCAACCCCAAGCGTATGTGTGAATGCAATGAGCTCAGAATGATGTTGTGTCATGCATTTTAATAATGTGTGACTGTCTTTGAGAATGTAAACCAACTCTGTGTAGGAGGGGCCCCCAACCCTGAAGTGTCCCGGGCCCCCCAAGGTTTAAATCTGGCCCCAGTTCCGTCCCTCCAATTTA